GAAATTTGCATCACATTATTATCCCACTTAAATTTCAAAGGATTTCCTCATTAAAAATTGAAAATTTTACAGAAAAATCAGTGAAAGCTGTGAAATTTTCATCGCATTACTGAAATTCACAGCCTTCACTGATTTTTCCATAAAATTTTTAACTTTCAATGACGAAATTTTATGGAAAAATCAGTGAAAGTTGTGAGTTTCAGTTCAATCATTCCATGAAAATTGCTGGAAATCCGGAAAATTCAGGAAAATTCAGGAAAATCTACCCTTAAATGTTCACTCAATCAAAAATCATCGACAAATTTTATCAAGTCAATTCTCCGAAATTATTTTCCTCATTATTTTCCAATAACAATTGGATTTTACTCTACACGGAGTACCAATGCGCCTACCCAAGTCCGAAGCTGTTGCCATAGAAACTATGGGAATTCGCGCCGGCTAAAGAGCGAGAGAGAGTGAAATCGAGGGAGGGAAGCCCTCGGGTTTGTTGTAGAACGGCGAGTGAGAGAGAATTGAGTGGAAGGCTGAGGGGGATGAATAGACGGATGAATGACGCACAATTAACTAATTAAATCATCCGTCGACCCTACTCTGCGCGAGTTTCACTCACTCGTCTCCCGAGTATCATCCCTTGCCCTCCCGCAGCCCCTCTAATTCCCAGCCATCGTTATATCTGCCCACCTTTATCTTTTTTCTCCTCATTTCGATTAGCAATGGTGGCCCTCTTCGTATCCCTCAACGATCGCTCGTTTGTTCAGAATTGAGAGAAAAAGAAAAAGAAAACCCAACGAAAATTGTAATTGTTCGGAAGTTGAAGGTACAAAAGGTTCGAGATAGTTTGTCAAAGTAATTGGGGATTTCTCTGCCCGAGAAATTTCAAATCAAATATTGTAATTTCTATCGGCGAGGGGGGGGGGGTCTGGGTTAATTTATCCTCTGATAGTTTGATTATTTCCTTTCCTCTTTAGGAAAATATTTGGCCAATGAGTAACAGACTCCTACAAACTTTACAAAATTCATCTTCCCCTGACAGTTTATTCTATAAGCAAACTACAATATTTATAGAGTCATCCGATCTATCACTATTCCCAAATACCAATAAATTCATAACATCAATAGAACACAGGTACAAATAGTGCTAGTTAACAGTCCACTCCTATCCCCTCAAAAAAAATGTTCCACCCAGGTGAAAACAGAGAATAGACTGTGTTAAAACATGTTGTTGAACCGTTGTCCATGTCATAACCTCATGCCAATATTTCCCAAATAAAAATCGCTCGCAACATCGCTATTTACAATTTCCATAGTGCCCCCCCCCCGCACT